TGAGCTCATTATGCTGGAGCTGTTACAGTTATGCTTATTGGGCCTTTGCAGCAGTTTATGCCGATGGGATCATCACAACTACTAGGCTGTCTTATATCATGAGATATGCACTAAGGTATAGGTATTATTCTTGGTCATTTATTCCTAGCAGACATAACCCATTGCTGGTTGAGTATCACAGGATATTGCATAGATGGCCAACATAGGCTGATATATATAAAATTATGTGGAATGGGATTCCTTGTCCTCCTCATTAGAAAGAGACAAGCACAGAACCAAGAGTAGTCATTCTTAGAGAGTAATGACTTAGAGAATACCTACAGTATACATATACAGGATTCTCATGCCCTTTCCAAAGTAGTATAAGAGGCCTATAGAATAGGCTAAGGATCTTTAGTCTATTCTCTTTGTGCTACCATAGTCTTTATACTATGGCCCTCATCTACTGCAGTCTCCCTACTGCACACTATTTGCAATAATATTGGCTTTTGTTATACATATACAGTTGAGACCATTGTTCTACTCTTCCTCATTGAGTAACCTAGGGAAAAATCTCCTACTCTTGGGGTTATTGAACAAGCAGTTCATAATACTAGAATAGACTCTTCTTGCCCCTATCTTGCTTAAACTCTAGCTTTTTGAGCTTTTTGCCACTTTCTCTCTTATAACCTTACTTAGTGGAGAACAATAGACCCCTATTAAGCAAGCATTACTGTATACACCTTGGAGCAAGACCTAGACCAGAATTATCCTCCTGGCACTAGACAAATCAATGCACAGTTCTGTCATAACAATCTAACAAAAAGGGCTTTGGTTTGCTCAGATGAGAATCTAACGCAAACAGTGCAGAGTCTTACTGGCTTAGGAGCGAGGGCTGCAACAGTGGACTCCAAGAGCTCCTTGGTGCGCATGCCTTCGATGAAGCAGACGTCAGTACCGGCATCGGCAGCAAGCTTCTACACAGACACCAACATAAATGCTCTACCTAATTATGATAACTGTTCATACAAGAGTATGTACTACTATCTTACCTTCCTATATAGAATAGAGGAATAGTTTCTTTGGAATGAAATAGAGAACCATTGGGACATATTACCCTAGTATAGAGATCCAGTACCAGTAATCCCTGACAAATCAGAGCAAGAAAAATCCACCTTTTATTCAGACTTTAACTCATCACTAAATCAAACACCAATTGATACCCAAAACCAACTACTTGCCAACATGTTGGGACAAGCATCAGCTTTTACAACTACCCCTTTCACAACCATGCAACCTGGAAGAAGAAAGGTCAAACCCCTAGACAATTACATAGGTGACTACATTGAATCCCAGAAATTCATGCTATAGTATTTCCTTCTCTTCATAGCAGAATCTGACAGGTACAAGACCAATTAGGACAGGATTTCCCTCATGCTTTCTTGCATGAAATATGGCATGGCAGAAGCTTAGGTGGAAAACTTTCTCACCAAAATAGTAAAAGTGGACCCTCCTAAAAACTTAAGAACCTAGACAGACTTCTTGGCCAAATTTAATTTATAGTTTAGGGAAACCAGCAAAACCAATAAAGCACAAAGTGTTTTCATAGCCTTCTCCCAAGAAAAGATGATTGTTAATGAGTACTCCAGCCAATTTATCCTAATTGCCACTAACACCGACATCTCCAAAAAGGAGCAAGTACCATACTTCCAGCATGGGCTAGACCCATATATCATGGACAAAATCCATGATAAGGAAGCTCAGCCTGAAGACAATATCCAAAGTTGGATCAACACAGCCTGTGAAGTAGACAAATGACTCAGAGTGTGGAGCACTCAAAAGGCCATTCTTTCAAACTCCATCTCCTTCTAAAGCAACTTTCTAAACCATTTTCATCTCTAACCTATACTCCACTACAATTCTATAATATTTGGGAAACCACCCCCTCGTATTAAGCTGTAATTAGCTATAATTGATACTTTACTATACTAAATGATAAAAGATTAGGATTAGACATTTTTAGCTTACCCCCCTCTAAACTTGTTCTAATTAGATATAATTTTCCTAAATTAGAAATTATTAGGATTGATTATGACTTCAAATTTCGGAAAAATCATAATAAATCAAGCATCACAGTTCTCATAGTCTTCTTATAGAGTCATATCTATTAAAGCACTAGTTAAATACATAAACACAGAATATACCTTGTAACAAACTTGCCTTTTGCCAGAGTTGAACCAACAACCTCATGTATACAAGCACTCAGGACAGATGCTCTAAGCCACTAAGCCACAAGGTCTAATATATAAACTTGGTAATCTAAATAAGTAGACATAATATAGGCAATCTCAACATCTCTGATTTTATTCAACATGTATCCTTCCTCTATCTAATAAATAAACAGGTCAATAAATACCCAAAAAGTTAGGCCTTTTAGGATTTAGTTTGAACACCAGCCAATAAGATAATAAACCAATAGAAAATAAATAATACACTTTATATAGGGTAAAAACAAATTATGGCACTTACACAATTTAGATTTAGAAAGTGTAAAACTATGATTGGGTATGATATTTAATAATACTCTACTAGTATTGACAATGCTATCTTAATTTGCAAATTTGATCAAAAACATGATTATGAATAATTGGCCATAATTAGCTCAAATTAGTATTATTAATAATTATCAATAATTAAGATCCAATAAGAGAGAAGGGTTTTCCAAATGGCCACTAGCAAGGTGGAGGGTGGGGACAAGGGCATATATATGGCCTGCCTATGTATAAATAAGCATAAGATTGTTAAAGATAATCTTAATATGCTTAGTGCACATATTTCCTACATAACAAGCAAATATATTATTCTGGCACTATATACCAACATGGCTGTCTTTTCCATAGCCCAATAGCTAGAGAAAAACACTAAGTTTGAGCATCTTCTGTATAATAAGGCTATAGATGGCATTGAGAATTGTAATATCAATAGTGGTGATGATTATGTGCTGCACAAGACAGTATTGACCACTGTACTAATAAACAAGGTTTACAAGGCTGCATATAGCATATCCCTAAGCCCAACCCACATATTGTGTTCTATAATAACCAGTAGCAGGCATTAGCTAACAATGACAACTTTAATGATCTTGCATGCAAGGCCAAGGTACTGAGGTCTTTATAGCCTCTTGTGCCAGCTGCTAAGCTGCCAACAAAGTAGCTAGGGGCATCAATGCACATTTCTCTCTTTTTATGTCCCTTTTAAAGGCAGCTGGAAAGTCAGCAAAAGAGCTACAAGATAATGGTGCAGGCATATATGAAGGGGAGTAATGTGCTAAAATAGTATAGAATGTGCCAAATCTTTACCTTCTCACTAATGGAGCAGTAGTACTTACTATTTCCTACTAATAATTAAAGACTTCTTAGTATAGAATTAGTGCTAATATCATGAAATTAGAATCCAATCCAATGTTCACAATGTGTTGCTCCCAATTAGGAAATTAGACACTTTTAGATGCTATTAACACTTTGAGATACTTTTAGACACTATTAGATATAATCCGGAGCTAATATAAGGGAGTGGTTTTCTTAATGAAATGCCCCTCGCAGAATAAACAACCAAGTTGTTGATATGGGCATTAACACTATGTGAAAGCATAATACCACTAGTTAGAAGTGGATGCATAATGGCAAGCTGTATAGCCTCTGTTATTATTGCAACAAACCAGGGCATTGGAATGCTGACTGCCCATCACATCATAGAGGCCTTCAACTGACTCAAGAAAGCTTGAAAAGATTTATGGGAAAGGCAGGGTAAAAAAATCATGCAGTTAATATTAAAGATGAAGATGACTCAGAACTTGCTCTGAGAAAACAAGTAGGAGTACATTGAAAGGTAGAGGTAAGGAATACTCATTGCAATAACCAGTGGATATTACAACCTGGTCATTCAATGGAATGTTTAGACTCTCCCACATTCTGACTACCCTCACCGAACCATTAATGCATCATATTACCAGATAGATGACAAAGGAACAGAGGTATCAGTCATACTGCTCAAATTAGAGCAGTTCTCAATGAGCTAGGGAAAGGGAAACAGAAAGACATGGTGATGGGGTTTGCTAAGTGTTTTGCCTAACCTCTTCCTTGCCAGCAAAGGAGAAAGATCAAATAAAGCCTGAGTTTGAGATACAGAAATGTATTTACATTGGAGGAATGACCAGTTACATTATCACTCCTATCCATCTAAACATGTAGATCTCAAACTAGACTTATTATGCTAGAGCCAAAGCAGCCATCAACCTAGCATGCAAAAAGATTATAGTAAATAAAGTATGGGTTAGGAAACACAGGTTCCCCATATATTTGCTTACCCATCCCATTCACTTTTGAAATATCAATGACACCATTAACAAAGCAGGCCTTATCTGATCAGCATTAGATATAAACCTCAAAATTTAGGACATCTATGCACAAACATACATGAAATGCATTCAAATGTTTATATCCAATTTGGAGAAAGACAACATCATCCTAGAAACAGATTGGCTAAAATACTATGACTCCTTCATCAAGTGGAGATAGTGTGAAGTGCACTTTGATTAGTGCCCCTAGAATTGCCACTAACTACACAGGTTTACCAAGGCAAGGGAAGAACTACCCAAGAGTGGTCAGTTATCAGTTGACAAAGAGCCACAATACAAACTGTGACTCAACAAGTGTGATGAACACCTCTAAAGAATATTGGAAGAAATAGGTCTCTACAACTATAGTAGAATGTTTGGTGTTCAACTAGCAGCCTATCTCAGAAGAAAATAGCTTATATGTAATATAGAGAAATATGCAGAGGAGAAGAAACAACATGCTCAAACAAACTCCAAGCCATTTCTTTTGCCAAATGAACAAGAAACATCTCTTATACCCAATTCCCCAAGCATGGCTACTATAGAGGAACCTGTCATCCAAAAATTAGCTCCAGAACCATGAGGGTTTGCCAGCTTCAACCAAGACCTGGAAGAAGAAATTGTTATCACCAACCTGAAAGAAAGGGTCCCTAAGGTTCATTATAAGTATCTTGACATTTTCAGTGAACAAAACTCACAATGCCTCCTGGAGCACACCTTCTGGGATCATGCTATTGACCTCAAAACTATGTTCAAACCTCAAATGCCCAAGATATATGCTTTGAGTCTTGAGAAGCATGACAAACTAGGAAAATTCATTAAGGAACACCTTGCAAGAGAAACTATTTATAGGTCTACCTCATCCAGTGCCACCCCATTTTTCTTTATAGGAAAGGATGGAAAATTATGCCTAGTACAAGATTATTGCCATCTCAACAAACACACTGTCCTGAATGTTTGCCCCCTCCTATTAATCTAGGAACTACTATATATAATCAAAGGAGCCATAGTATTTAGCAAACTGGACATATAATAGGGATATAACAATATACGCATCAAAGAAGAAGATAAATGAAAGGCTGCTTTTGTAATCCCCCTGGATTTATACAAACCAATAGTAATGTTCCTTGGCCTTACCAGCTCCCCTGCAACCTTCCAAGCCATGACAAATATGATATTCTGAGAACTTATTATAGCCAAGAAGATAACTGTATATATAGATGACATCCTTATCTTCTCCCAATCCATGGCAGAACACATCCATGTCCTAAACCAAGTTTTCCAAATCTTGTGTCACAATAACCTTTACCTCACACTGGAGAAATGCAAGTTTTACAAGGAAAAGTTGAACTACCTCAGTTATACTATCTCCAAGGACCACATTGCCATAGAGGACTCCAAAATTGATGCCATAAAGGACTAGCCTATTCTGTGCACAGTTCACAATATCCGCTCTTTCTTAGGTCTAAAGAACTTCTATAAGCAATTTATTGACAAGTTCTCACTTATTACCCAACCACTGTATAACCTTACCAAGAAAGATGAAAAATGGAACTGGACTAACAAATGCCAAGAAGCCTTTGAAAGTCTGAAGGAGGCCCTTATCAGTCAACCTATTTTAAACTACTTAGACCAAATGTACTTATACAGACTCATAATGGATGCATCACTAATTGATTATGAAGCCATGCTTCTGCAAAAAAGTATAGATGGTGACTAGTACCCTGTGGCATATCGTTCTGGCTTGTTTTCATCGGCAGAGCAAAACTACAATATCCATAACTATAAACTACTTACCATTGTCAAAGCACTAGAGCACTGGAACCACTATCTTGAAGGAGCTCGATACCCTTTCAAAATCTGAATGGACTATAAAAATCTGGAACACTTCCAAATGGCCTATGATAAATCACAAAAACATATTCATTAGAGCCTATACTTAAGCAGATTCAACTTTATGCTTAGCTACAAAGCTGAATCAACCAACCATTCTGATGCTCTGTCTAGGTGTCTAGATCTAAGTGAGGGGGTAGAATCTGATAATAAGGCTCAAATTTTACTCCCAGCCAGACTATTCAAGTGAAAAATTGGTAGAACCAAGCCAAAATATGCATGTCAAAACCACAGAAATTGTCTCTTTAGACCTCATCTCCCTCATCTGATACTCATAACTAGAACATGACATGCTAACCAACATGGCCCTCACCAATTTAGTATAGGATGGCCCCTAGGCAATGAAAGGAGATTTAGGGAAATAAATGCACTCCAATAGTATCACTAAATGGAATAAATACATATGTGTCCTGAAAGATGATCTCATCTGGAGAACCATTGTCAAAATACACTATAATACACTGGCCATAGGATATTCTAGAAGAGCTAAAACCTTAGAGTTGGTACAATAATACTATTGGTGGCAAAACATAACCAAGTTTATTCACAACTATGTGGACAAATATGCCACATGCCAATCCACAAAAAACCTAATACATAAGGCATGGCTATCTATTCATCTCCTAGAGACCACCAATACACTATGGTATTTTATCTTTACGGATTTTATCACAGACTTATCCGAGAGCAAAGAATTCAACTCAATCAACATTATGGTCAACTAGGGGCTGTCAAAAGGAATAATAATCACCCCATGCGAAAAAACCATTATGGTAAAAGAATGACCACCCTCTTCCAAAACAATGTTTTTAATAGGCATAGGTTACCCACCAAAATAGTATTGGACTATGGCCCTCAATTCACAGCCAAGTTCACATAGGAACTGTGGAAATAATTGAGTATCACTACAGTGCTTAGTATAGCCTACCACCCTCAAATAAATAGGGAGATAGAGCAGGTAAACCAGAAAATTGAACAGTTCTTAAGAATATTCTGCAACTACTATCAAGACAATTGGGTAGACCTTTTGCCATTTGCAAAATTCTTATACAACACATGGGAGCACTCCACCACTGGGAAGTTGCCATTTAAAATACTCTATAGTTTCAATCCTCTTTATTCAGTGGACATAGTGCTAGAAACCAAGGTACCTACAGTAACTGGACACATATAGATAATTACAAAAGTGCAGGAAGAAGCTGCACCCAGCTTATAAATGGCAGCTCAATATGCCAAAGACTAGGATCTCAACAAGAAACTTCTCTAGTGGGAAGAAGAAGACTAAGTATGGCTAGAAGGAACCCATATCTGGATGACACATCCCAAATTCAAACTTGCTTCTAGGAGACATGGCCCTTTCAAAATTCTAGCCAAGGTCAGATCACTGGCATACAAACTACAAATCTTATATCATTGGAAAATCCACCCTGTCTTCCATGCCACTATGCTTAACAAATATAGAGAAATGGAAGCATATAGAACAAACTTTGTCAAACCACCACTAGAGGTACTAAATGACAAAAAGCATTACAAAGTGGAAATAATCTTGGACTCAAAATGACAAGGATGTGAAACCAAATACCTAGTTAAATAGGAAAGGTACTCTGAAGCTGACAATACCTAGAAACCTTATGCCCTCCTGAAAGGGATGATGAAAGAAGCACTAAAATATTTCCATGACTAATATCCTAATAAACCCTGTCCCATGTCAACCAGATCATAAAGATATAAAGGGTCAAGAAATGACCCTTTATATCCAACATTTCTACTTACCACACCTCTCTTCTCATTCTTAACCACATTTATGCTTCTTCACAATAATACTATTGCTTTATCTCCCTTGAGAAACTTCTTCCCCAATGTCATCCTTATGGTCACAAACACAGACATTTTTCTCTTCTTTCTCTTGAACTCCTTGTAGTCTCCAGTATTGTCATCTGAGAAGTTGTTAGGATATTTGGTAAGGGCAGTGGTAGCAATGTTGGACTTTAGTTGCATCAAGCCTTTCCCTTTACCAGGTTATTTGATGACCAGAAAATAACTGCTGTTAAATCATGACTTATTGGGCCTTTACAGTGGTCTATGCTGATACAATCATCACAACTACTAGGTGGCCTCATACCCTGAGGTGTACATGAAGGTACAGATAATATCTTTGGTCATCCACTCCCAGCAGATCATCCATCACTAGTCAAGTATCATAAGCCTGTTGTAGTGGACATCTTTTCCTGCCTTACAAACTACTCATGCGTAGACATGGAGCTCCTTGTCTTCCTAGTTGGAAGGAGACAAGCAGAAAAGCAAGAGTAGTCATTCAGAAAGTGAAATGACTTAGAGAATACCTATGGATACATATACAAGATTCTTACACCCTTTCCTAAAGTAATATAAAAGGCCCATAGAATAGGCTAGAGTTCTTTATTCTATTCTCTTCATTCTCTCTATATTCTCATATACAAAGCTTTGTCTAGTACTATCCTCTTACAGTACACTTCGTTCCATTGCCTACGCTGCAATATACTCCTGGCTCCTATGCTATGCATATAGTTGAGACTATCATTCTACTCTTTCTCTACAAGCAACCTAGGGAAAAACTTCCTACTCTTGGGTTTACCAAATGAGCAGTTCATAACAACTGCATGGAAGGGACTCCCAAAGTCCACCACAAAATGAAGGCACTAATGGCAGAAACCTTAATGATTCTAGTGCATCTACAATTTGAGTTCCACCTCCTAATAGAATTCTAATGCTTCCTGGAAATTGAACACCCCAGGGACTACATCCAAGAGGCGGAAATCAACAATTAAGCCAGTTTCAATTCTACTAGGAACTACACCACTGCTAGTATTATTTGGCAGAGAGGTTTCCACTACCATGGGAAGACTTATCAGTAGTTCAAATCCCTACCCTGGAGAACTAGAGAGACACACAGACACTCACATAGACACTTTCCTCCAGCAAAACACCATCTCCATGGTAATACAGATAACCACTGCCATAGCACTCAAATGCCTTGCTAATTTCTTGGCAGGACAACCTGAAAACAAGAATAACAACATACTTTGACAATTGGCTAGTGTAAGTCAACAGATCAGATGGCTCACCCTTGAAACCAATCCTGATACTATGTCCTGGTATGAGGACAATAATGGAAGGCCATGAGCCTTCTTCATCCACCCTAATAAATTCACCTAGCATGTTAATTGAGAGCTCCTTCCAGCTTTTCTCTTCCTAGGAGAGCTTGGACCTATTATGCTGCACCAAACTGATTCTTTTCACATTATTACCTAGACTGTACCCTCTCACCATAGGGAACACTCCATGTCTATTCCAAATCCCAGAGGGGTTCCACATTTAACCATAGAATCTCCTTCATAACAACAAGCACTTCATACATCAAATAGGAGCCCCTTGGCTCCCTACCATAGGGTATAAGATGTTCCTCATACTGCTTGGAATACTGACAAGGAGGAACTACCCATCTACCAAAGAAATAAAGACAGATGAACTAGAGGAATCCAGACTTCCCACCACCACAGAGTGTATGCTAGTAGGAATGTTCAACCACAAGATGGAGCACCTGCTATTACTTATTGACTTTGCATGGATGGGGGCTTGAATCCTCAAAATAATCAATGAGCTTGCCATGCTGACTCAGAGACTAGAAGAGATTGTTTCTAGACTCAATCTAAACTTGACACATAGGATGCCCTAGACAGCCCTAGAAATCATAATAACATGGACCCATACTCCTAACCTGACAAGGATAGAGATAGATACCAAGGCAATGACTACTAAGGACAATGGTAATAAGGGTAGAGAGGGAGTAAAGAACTTGAGGAACTTCGTACCCAAGAATAATAATGGTAATAGGAAGGAAAGGACCCTCTTCGCACAGTCACCAGTTTCACAAACAGATCACCTTATAAGTAGGCTCTGGTCCAAAATAACCTAAAACTATAATTGTCCCTCATGATGTTAAACTGTACGCCCTCATCCAAAACTAATATTAAACTACCCACATCCAAAATAATGTCAAAATTATTAAACCTGCATATCTTAAAACTGTGAAAAGAAAAGAAGGCA